CCTCGGGCCCTCACTCCGGCTGGAACATGTGAGACCACCTGGGCGCGTGCCGACACTCCTGTGCCCAGGCTGCATCCCAGAGGTTCCCTCCAGCGGTGCAGGGTGGCCTGGCATCTGCACTTTAGCAGGCAGCCCCGGCGACTCCGGTACAGGCCACCTGGAGACGGTACCTGAGACACAGGCTGTGGGCACCAGGAGGCTCTGAAAGGTGAGGTCTCACCTCAGGAAGCCTCTCTCAGACCTCCTCCAGGTGGTGTGCAGTCATTGAACATGCGCACTGAATGCGCATTGTGTGCCCACACACTCCTAGGCACACAGGGGGCAAAGGGGGGATGGAGGCCTCCAACAGGGGAGATGGAGCGCAGACGTCCCGGCCCAGCACAGCAGGCAGCCGCCGGCGCTCTGCGGGGCAGAGCAGGGTGCTCGGCCCTCATGAGGGTGACAGAGGTGACATCAGAGAAGTGGTTCCCAGGGAGGGGACCTCCAGGCTGGGTAAGGGCTTAAAAAGATAAAAACATGGGGGAGCATTCCCAGGCATAAAGTCTAGAGCCAGCTGAACATGTTTGCAGAGTGCAGGTAGTTCTGTTTCTTTAGAGTACAAGGTCTGAGGGGCGCGCATGTGTATGTGTGTGTGTGTGTGTGTAATTAAGGGTGAGGGAGGCACGTCCAGGGCCAGCGCCCCCAGGAGTGGCTGTGCACAAAATCTGCCAAATATGCCAAAGAGCATCTCTAAAGGTGTTGCGGAGGGCTGACACGTCAGCTCCACATTCTAGAAAGTCCGCCATGGGCTCCCCGAGACGGGAAGTTCAATAATGGGAAGGTTAAGGCACTTCTTCGCCAACAGACTACTCTGTGAAAATCCCGAGCTGGCCGCTGCTCTCTGCTGTCCGCCCGGAGCAGAGGGCTCTCCCTGTGAGCCGTTCCTTTCTACCCAGGCCAGGCCGAGACCTCACCCTGAGCTTGCATAAAAATGCGAACGTTCCATTTTAAATGTAAGTGAAGAGGACAGGAGTAGCGAAACACCCCCTGCGGTCGGGCCTGAGCTTCGCTTCCCGCCTCCCGGAGCAGCTCACGGAGGGCACAGGGACCCTCCCCGCAGCACAGTGGCGACTGGGGTGCACAATTAACATGCACGGAATCCACCACCCTTCAGGGCAAATGGAGCTGTTTGCAGAGAAACGTGTTTGTGGCTCTGGGAATCATTAATCAATGACACAGAGGCAGCCCAAAACAATTACTGTCCCAGGTATCGCTGGAGGCAACCACAGCGCCAATGTTCACATAGAGAAACGAGCGAGCTGCTGCCACCCTGAGCTCAGGCCTGCTGCTGCCCAAGGCCTGGGGCGCAGGGGCGGGGGGGAGGGCCATCCAGAAGCTTGGAAGGAGGGTGTGCTCTGGAGCCCCCTGGGCTGTGTCCAGCGAAGGCGATAGATGTGTGTGTTGCTGAGACGCTGAGAGGAGGGGCAAGGATCTCCCTGCAGGGCTGCCTGGCCACCTTAGTGGCGACCCTGGGAAGGCAGGTGCTCCGGGTTCTGAGCTGGGCACACACCCACCACACACACTCTCTGGACAAGCTGCCCTTAGAAAAAGCACGCGCCACAGGTTTCTGAAGAATCCGCATTAGGGTGTTCCCAGCTGGCGTCCAACACTTGCTACAAACTGTCTGCACACGAGCAGAGAGTGTTGGCCAGGAAATGCAGGAGCAGCTTCCCTACACGCACACACACCTGCGTGCACAGGCCTCCGTGTCTTTGAACACATTCATGGTCAGGGTCAGTGCCACAGTCCTTCCTTCCTCTGCTTCCAGCTCCTGTCCTCTCAGGAACGCCCAGGCGAGCAGGTTGGCATGTGCTGGGCATGCTCTGTGCCAGGCAGAGACCCCTTGTGTGAGGGACCTAGAGGCCTGCCCGACTGGCCACCGCTAACCAGAGAGGTCCTACAGGAAGCTCCCAGCCTGGGAGGGTGCCGAAGGCCAGGGTGGTGAGAGTTTACACAACCTGCCTGAGGCAGGGTGCTGGGAGACAGTGGAGAGTGAAGTCACATGGACTTAGCGAGAGACAGGCCTGAGCTGGAGCCTAGCAATTCCAGTTAGCGGCCCCCAGGGCCCAGTTTTGCATCTTTGAAATGGAACTGACAAAGCCTCCATCACAGGGCCACGGTGACACTAGGAGAGACGCTGAATGACAAGCACACAGCAAGGGCTCCAGGTGACCAGCTGCCAAGGTTGCCAATGATGCGATACTCAGCGGGATGATGCCCGAGTCTGTGTGAGCACTCAGCCTATGCCAAGCTGCCCTGCACTAATCGCGGGCATCTGCCTGCCTGGTGCTGGTGGTGGGAGAGTTGCCATGGTAGCCAGCCTTTGCCAAGCCATGGCCCAGCTGCTCCCAAAGAGGCTTCCACCCAGTGCTTGCCCCCCTGAGCCAGGGTCCCCAGGCCATGACAGCAGCCCTGGTTACAGCTGCAAGCAGGTGGCCTACCCCCGACCCCTACCACCCCTCTGCTCCCCCGGCTGGTGCCCGGCATGTGGCCTCCTGACATAGCTGTGTCTCCCACTGGGCAGAGCATGTCATGCTTTTGTCATAGAAGAGAGACAGGGTTGAAGCCAAGCCTGCCCTGCTTGAAGCAACTTCAGGCAGACTCAGACGTAAGTACAGGTCTGCACCTTGTGGGGAGGTGGTGGAGGGAGCAGGGCACTGTGGACGAGCACACCAGACAGGCTCAGCCAGCAGGTGGGCACCGGGCTGCGAGGAGCTGGCCGGGAGCTGTCTGGGGCCCGGTCACAGAGGCCCCTGTGCCACAGCCAGCCCGGCCGCTCCACAGGGAGTTGTCTAGTCTAGACCTGACTCCCTCCTCTGGCCCAGTGATGTTCTTGAGCTCCGGGGCCACCTCCCTGTGCTCCTCCCTCCCTCAGACTTTTACATTCAGGGCCTCCTCAGTGTCACCACATGTCACTCCAGGCCCCAAGCCCAGCAACTTCCCTCTTTTCCACACAGTGTGGCATTTTGCAGGGGGCACAGAGCTCCTAGAGGGGCCCAGCCCAGCAGATCAGGTCTCTCATGGGCTCCACTCTGACCCACTGTCTCATCATGAACATCTCCGAAGGACAGCAGGCCCAGGCAGACCCTCCACCCCAGATCTGCGCAAGCACGCACCCAGCGCCTCCCTCACCTACAGTTCCTGCCTCCTGGAGCCAGAGCTGCTGGGACGGTTTGAATGAGAGCACCTCTGTGAGCACTGGCAGGCATTTCCTACTCCCTCGGCCATGGCCTAGGTACCAGGGTTCGTTCCCCATTCCCCCCTTCTTGGAGGGGGAGAACAAGTCCAAAAGGACCATTAAAAGAAGAGCAACCGCCACCTTGACAACAGCAGCCGCAGCCACTGAGCTCCGACCCCCGCGGGCACAGTTCTGGACAGGAGCACCCCTCTCTGATCTTCCACACAAACTGATGAGTCAAGGACGACAGCCCCAACGGCACTGGGCCTGAAGGGGTGCAGGGGGTGGGGGCTGGGTCTGTGTACGGCCCACCTGTGGCATCGCCCATCTGCCCCCAACCCCGTGTCCCTTCTTCAGGGAGCAGGTGTGGCTGGTGGTCTGGTTCCTCTGGTCCTGGAGGAATTCAGGCTGAATTGGAACTATCTGCCCCACAACTTCCCAGGAACCAGAGGTAACAAGCAAGCCCAGCGACAGGAAGGAACACAGCTCATGAAAAGAGCACGTGCGACAATGGCATAGACTCCTTGGCCTGCCCTGCTCGGTCTCCCGTTCAGGGGCTGAGCCCCCAGCCCAGCCGGCCCCTCCGCAGGCGCAGGTGCTAAGGGGGACCAGGGCGGCTCCTGCTCTGCCAGCTGCTCCTGCCCGCCTGTCTGCACCTGGTGCTCTGCTACCACAACGAGCCAGTGCGCACTCTGACAGCTTCCTGCTGAGCCGCACGGAGACCCAGAGAGACTGATGTTCACGTACAAGACAGGACGGGGGAGAACAGCCTCTGCCTTGTCCTGTCCTGCCTCTCGGGCGCTGTCAGCCACCCTCCTTCCCCTCCACCCCCACCCCCAGGAGCTGGGAAAGGAGCCACCTGTGGGCTGCAGGCTCTTGCTCCCCCAACAAGGCCTCTGACAGACATGCCACTGGGTGAGACAGTCAGCAAAGCAAGACTCAGAGACTAGCACAAATGCCACAGGCATCCTGCTACACAGCCTGGGGTTGGGCCTCGCTCTTGGCTGTGACATATGCTCCAGACCTTGCCCACCGCCCAGCCCGCAGGCTTGGGAAGTGCGTGCCGTCGGGCCAGCCCAGAGGCTCTCCTGGGAAGAGCCAGGGAAAGAACTGGGAGAGGATCCGGTAGGGACCCTGAGAGATAGGAGTGTGGCGGGCAGTGTTCCAATGCTGGCCCCAGTGGGCCACTCACGTGAGCCCACCACACCCGCACCTGGGCACTACTTTAGGGGCCAGAGCTCCTGCTGAGGCCCACGGTGCCAGTGTGCTCACCCGGGGCCTGAGAGGCGGGCGCGCCCACCACACCCGCACCTGGGCACTGCTCCAGGGGCCGGAGCTCCTGCTGAGGCCCACGGTGCCAGTGTGCCCACCCGGGGCCTGAGAGGCAGGCACTGCGGGGACAGCTCGGACGTAGCGCTGGGGTGTCCAAGCACCACCCCCCTCCCAGGCCCTCACGATGTGGATGCACCCAGGGGGTCAGGCTGCAGGCGGGGCCGAGGTGCTGGACGACGCGAAGGTCAAGAATTCTGGACTGAAAAGTGCTCTCCCGGGATTAGAAAGGTTAGTGCACATTCACCCAGCAGTTCATCAGTGCGATTTACACCTTCAAGGCATTTGGGTGCAGGTGTGTGTGTCCCTTTGCACACCTCCCTGGACACATGCTCGCAGCGCCCTCCTTGGATTCTCAGAGGGAAGGGAGTGGTCACCGTGCCTGTGAGTGAGGGGGGCCCTGCTCGCTCGTGTCTGATCGTCCTGAGAGAACAGTCATGATGGGCCGTCTTACCTTCTCATGGTCAAGAAGCTCTTGTAAAATGACTTGTCTTTCCCGACACAGTTCGAGGAAATCCTCGGAGTGCTGACTTTCGTGCAGGGACGGGAAGAAGGTCAGCCGGGTGCAGTCTGCTGCCACCTCGTCGCTCTCGCCCTCGGCCTCCCTGGGGGTCAGCTCCCCTGCAGTGGCGTAAAGGGACACAGTGTTGGCACGAGCCACCCGATGTCACCAGGGCTGGGGTGCAGTCGGGCCTGAGTCGCTGGGAGGAACGGCCAGGGCCAGGGGCGACATGACCGGTGTGCAGGTCCGCGTGTCCCTCGCTGCTGCTGCGAGTGGACACACCCTGAGGCTGTGGGTGGTCAGACACCTCAGGTGGACCCCCCAGGGGAGCCCAGGCCGGGCTGCTCACCAGGGTTTGTTGGATCTGAATTTCACTTTGTTCGCTCTTTGAAAAGAGTGTTTGTTGTTTTAATTATGGAAGCACTATCTTCTAATTATAAGAAAAATCTGGGAAAACCATGAAGTTGTGAGAAATAAAACAAATGTGTACTCAGTCGGGCCTGAGTCGCTGGGAGGAACGGCCAGGGCCAGGGGCGACGTGACCGGTGTGCAGGTCCGCGTGTCCCTCGCTGCTGCTGCGAGTGGACACACCCTGAGGCTGTGGGTGGTCAGACACCTCAGGTGGACCCCCCAGGGGAGCCCAGGCCGGGCTGCTCGCCAGGGTTTGTTGGATCTGAATTTCACTTTGTTCGCTCTTTGAACAGAGTGTTTGTTGTTGTTTTAATTATGGAAGCACTATCGTCTAATTATAAGAAAAATCTGGGAAAACCATGAAGCTGTGAGAAATAAAACAAATGTGTACCCAGAGTCAGTACTGACAATAGCAGCTGCCGTTCAGTAATGCTTCTCTGTGCTGGGACTTGCAGGGGCACTTTCCATCGGGTGCTGCCGGGTGGGAGAGGCGGCGGAGCCGCAGCTGAGGATGGGGAAACTGTGCGCAGGGTAAAGGGCTGCCGAGACCCCAGGCCCGGGCCGAGGCCGAGCCGGGCCTCTGTCCAGAGTCAGCGCCGGCTCTAGGCTGATCGTCCTCACTGTTCACAGTTGATACCTTTCCTGCACATGTATGTGTAGGCACGCCTCTGTGTAATTTTTGACACAGTAGGAATTACACTGCATTCGTAGCTTTTCTTTTCTAATATTTTTTTCACTCAAGATCATATCATGAGCACTTTCGCATTCCACTGGGAGTTCTTTGCAAACAAGACACCCCTGTGTGGCGCCTCAGGATCCCCTGAGCCCTCTCCGACTCGTTGGTTCTGCGCTACCATGAAGCTGGGGCGCTGCAGTCGCGCGTGTGCACGGCCACGGCCACGGCCACAGCCACACTCATTTCCTAAGGCTGCACGCCGGGCCTGCCCACTGGGTGCCAGCTAAGCACACACCCGCGTGGATTTCTAGATCCGACTCCTCCACCCTGTCCTGGTGTCCACCTGCCTGGAGCGGTCATGCGCACCTGCCTGCAGTCCAGGGGCTGCAGCCATTTCCTCTATGCCAAGATGCTCACCTCTTCGACCTCAGCCCTGCCTGGGACTCTCCCCTCTGGGTTAATGGCAGTGCCTGCTGCTCACAGCGCAGCCATACCAGCTTCCCCAGCAGGGAGAGCGCGGTGCAGTCACGGGCATGCGGGAAGGCATGGAGGAGAACTAGGCTGACTGAGCGCCTAGGGACCAGGGACTCAGCAGACCAGACGGAAGCCTGGTGAGGTCAGCACACCTCCACCTGCCCTCTCTGCAGCCACCTCCAGAGGAGGGCGCGGCAGGTTCTCACTCTGATCTTTGAGTGTGGGCCTTGGGGTAGAGAGATGAGAAGCAAATGGATATTGCAGTGTTACCCTAAGTCCTATGACCCCCCCAAATCAACCTGATCAAGCCCAGCATCCTCACTTCCGGGCAACACTGCAAACTGGCCAGAGAGCCAGCTCAGCAGGAAGCCCAATGCCACGGTCCCAGAGACAAGATGATCAACACTAAGAAGCTGTCATTTGGTTACAGTGTGACACTAGCTGCAGCCTAGGGCACAGTGCACTCATAGCCAGGGAGTGTCCAAGCCAAGGTAGCCTGAGAGAAACCACAAAACCAGGCATTGTGTGTGTGTGTGTGTGTGTGTGTGTGTGTGAATGTGTTCTTGCTAAAATGACTTCTGAGAAGCAAACCTGTATTTTTAGCAAGTTGATTCATTCAATTTCCTCCATGAAAATTATACAAATAAAGAGTAAGCATAAACTTAAAATATTCAAAGTATGATTTTTGTTTGGGAAATACTACACTTATCTTTGATCCACTTGCTGCAGTGTCAGTTAGCTATAGTCAAATGTGGTCCAAAAACATTAAATAAAAAAATTCCAGAAATAAACAGTTCATACGTTTCACATTGTGCGCTGTTTTGAGCCACGTGATGAAAACTCTACGATCTCGCCCCTCCCATTCAGGAAGTGAGTCTGCCCTTTGTCCAGCACCTCCCCGCTGTCCACTCCCGTCTGTCAGTCCCTCAGTAGCCATCTCAGTTATCAGAGCAACTGCCGCCGAGTCGCAGTGCTTGTGCTCAGTTATCCCATTTTACTCAACAACGGCCTCAAAGCGCCAGGGCAGCGACGCTGGCAACTGGGATACGCCACAGAGAAGCCACAGTGCCTCCTTTAAGCGGGAAGGTGTGTGTGGGGAGGAACGCCACAGTACACGGTCCTGCAACCTGCCCCGTGGTCAGGGGCTGTAACACTGACTATTCTATCTGTCATGTTTACAATCAGAGAGGTCAGGGTGAGAAGCATTTCTGCCCTTGGGCGCTCGGGGTCTGGGACATCCCTCTCAGTTCAGTCCGCCTGCCCGCTCCGGGCCTGCAGCATTCTCTTCCCAAGATATCAATTCCATGTTGCTAATAAGATCTTAAGTAAAACCAACAACTGGTTTAATTTTTAAATAAAAAATAGTTGATAAACTGAATACCTCCGTTTTCAGCATTTGTTTGAGAAATATCACCATTTCTGTCCTGGCTTTCCTGAAATAAAATCAGAGAAAAAGAAATTAAATCCTGGGTACTACCTATATGCACCCCCCCATTCCACATATTCACAAACACATAGACATGCACGTGACCCCTTCAAATAAATCACATACTCAAGACTCAGACTCGAGAAAACGCTGAATCCTAAAGGACCACAGTAAAAAGCAAGTATTAATGTTCCTGAGTCAAAGGGGAGAAAACCCACAATCTTCCACTAAGTAGATTTACAGTAATTACCCAAATGATGCCAGAGTGGGATTACATAGCACCCGGGGCCTGGAGAGCAGGCACCGCGGAGAGGCTCGGGCCAGAGCCTGCTTTCACGGGCAGCCCTCGCTGGTCACCTGCACGCTGTGCGGGCTACAGATTTTTTAAAAATGTATTTTTATTGATTTCAGGGAGAAGGGGAGAGGGAGACAGAAACATCAATGATGACAGAGAATCATTGATTGGCCGCCTCCTGCACACCCCACACTGGGGATCAAGCCCGAAACCCGTGCATGTGCCCTGACTGGTATTTAACCATGACTTCCTGGTTCATAGGATGACACTCAACCACTGAGCCACGCCGGCCGGGCCGGGCCACCTATTTCTCCTGCCTCCATTTCCTCAGAAATGCACTGAGGGAGAGTACTGTAAGCCACCGGATGTTTATTGGCAATCCATTAGAAATTCAGTGTCTACTGAATAAAAGAATTATAATTTTTCATTGAGTTTTATAAGGATGTAATGTGGATAAGAGGTTCTGTGTCACAGACTAGAAAACAAACTCAACACTGACTTGTGTTCCAGTGTCTGGAAGGCTGGCTTTTAGAACATCCCAATCAGGATTGTTCGGTGAAGAAATACAAATCTATTAACAGATGTTTCTACTCCACTACCAATTCAACTGGCTCCCCAGCCTTTAAAAGGCAAAAATGTAAGTTCAAGGACATGAGTTCAAGGTTTCATACAGCACACTGCGGTGTGCTGGACTCCACTGCTTAGGGCTCAGTGAGCTTCCATGCATTTGGACTAAATGGGTCACCGGCTGGAGCTGGCAGAAGTGGCCGAGTTCAAGGGATTTCCAATGTAAAGGTGTGCGATGCGCTTGCATAACCATGTCTAGAGCAGCGCTGGCCACGCCTGCTCCGCAACAAACACCTGTGCGAGCTGACAGTGACCAGCGCCGGCTTTTTCCAAACTCTGGACTCTGTGGACGTCAGTGTGGCCTGGGTCCGTGGTGCCGATCTACACCACTCACCCACTCCTCCACTCATCCACCCACTCACAGCTTCCTTCCTCCGCTACCTGCGAGGGGTAACGATTCTTTTTTCTGTTAAACTGCATCAAGAATAACGCAGAGCAATCCTGCCTTTCCCCACATACGTTTTCTCCCCTGCCTGCCCACATCAGAGCTCTCAGAAGCACCCCAGGAGTCCCGATGAGAACAACACCGGACAGACAGAGAAGCTGCG